TGTGTGTGTGTGTGTGTGTGTGTGTGTGTGTGTGTGTGTGTGTGTGTGTGTGTGTGTGTGTGTGTGTGTGTGTGTGTGTGTGTGTGTCATCCCCCTGACCACAGCACCCTGGGTGATTGTGCACGTCACCCACCTGTAAGGCCAGCCCTGCACTCATCCCTTCCCCATCTGCCCCCTCCATCCCCATTCAGAGAATTCAGAAAGAACGGTTCCAGTCTGAAGAAAGCAAGGAAGGGCAGAGGTGGGGAGGGGATGTTGCGGGTTGTGTCTCTTGCTGCCAAGGGTATTTCTGTATTTTAACCAATAATTACCTAATATGAACTGCCTAAACAATCCTGGCAGCAGCAACTAAAACTGAGATTTCCCCATGTCAAGGGGAATGCTGTAACCACCAAGCTACAAAGCCATGTTTTCCTCCTGGACCCATTAATCTTTTACATGTGACTGCCCCGTGAACCAGCTTAAACAAAAAGCAGGCTCTTCTGATGGGCTGTCTTGGAAAGTGGAAGAAGTGGGATTGAATCCCTTCAGGAGGAGGAGGCCCAGAATTCAGGTCTCCCACTTCCAGAGTGAGAAATTAAACAACTAGTTTTGTGTGCAGGAAGTGGGCACCAAAGACCTCTTTCACGAGTGAGCAACAGGTACCACACATTTACTGAACTCAGTGCTGCCTTCAGTTATGTAGGTGCCTCCAGTCTGGGTGGTCTGGTTCCTGAAAGAAGACAGAAGCATTTTCCCTCCAGACTGCCTCCCATCATTGTAGTCTGGATTCCAAGCCTATTGGTCAAACATCTAACCTCTGAGAGTATGTGCAGACATTACACTTAGGTAGCTCTAACTAGGTCCATCTAAGTGCCAGTCTGTGCACACATTTGGGGAGGTTAAATCAGGCAAAAAATGGCCACCTGAGGAAGTGAACTAAGTTAGACTGGGCACAGGTTAGCCCAATCTGCTGAACACCTACATTCATTCAGAGCACAGCCCCGGGACTGACAAAGCCCAGCTGCTCACACCAGCCCCAGGTCTGCACTCTGTCTACTCCCACCTCACTACCCTGATTGAGCTATTTTTAACCCCTCAACCACTGCATTCCTGGATGGACAACCCCACCTCCACAGATGCACCAACCCCCTCTCCCCAGACTTGCCAGTCCTCCCAATTCCACCAACCCCCTTGCCCCAAATCTGTCAAACTCCCTTATGGACCTCCTAGCCCTTCCTCAATCTTGCCTGCCCCTCTACCTAACCCAAGTTACTTAGATTGGGTTCCTGGCATGGCTCCCAGCACCAGCAAATGTGTGCACAAGCCACTCCCAGTCTATGATCACACAGCTTAAAGCAAGCCACATGATCATAGCGTGAATGCAGCAAACTACTGCACGTACCCTAAGAAGGAATGAGAGTGCAGATACATCCATGTGCCAAGCATTTCCTATTGCTTAGGCATCTAGTCCTGTTGATTTGTAACACCCTTCTGGAGCTAGGAATTTCAGGTATTGCAGCACCTAAGCACAGGCATATACAAGGTTGATTTGGCCCATTAGAATCAGGCACTAGTAGGAGGTAAGAATAGGGAAAGAACAAGTTAGAGACCACTTATATAAATCAGCTATTTTCAGAGACTCTGGACCTGAGGAAATTCAACCTAAAGTACTTGCATACATCTAGGATTTATTTTTGGTAACTCAGGGAGGATGGGGGCAGGGTTCTAGATGACTGAGAAAGGGCAAACATAATGGATATCTTGAAAAAGGAGGACCCAAGGAATTGAAGTGAAGGGCAATAAATTGTTCTCTGTGTCCGTTGGTGATGGGACAAAAAGAAGCAATGGGCTTAAAATGCAGCAAGGGTAATTTAGGTTAGACCTCAGGGAAAACTTTCTAACTGTAAGGATGATGAAGCACTGGAGATTATGGAATATCCATCACTGGGGGGTTTTACATACAGGTTAGAAAACATCTGTTGAGGTACACTTAATTCTTGAGGTAAAGGGGATTAATTAAACGACCTCTTGATGTCCTTTTCTATCCCTATTTTCTGTAATTCCATGTTAAGTTGAATCCTTGTAACCATTCTTTTCTGCATCTTTTGTAGAGGACTCCTTCAGTGTGTATGTATACACCCTCTCTCTTTCTCTCTCCCCCTCCCTCTCATTTTGTAGTTTTTCAATTCTGATGTATTTTATTCAGCAGTCGCCAATGTACACATTTAAAACTGTTTAGCAGCATCAGCAAACTCTTCATATCTCTAAGACACTTTATCATCTATAATTTACCTGCAACTATTCCAAGGGGTTTTTGGCTGAATTTTTTAAATGAGTACAGGAAACAAAAAAAGGCATCAGTGTACCTGATAACACTCAAAATGTAGGAGAAGCTCATCAGTATGGATTCAAAGAAAAATATAATCAGAAACAGTTACAATAGAACTATTGTACTTCAGTCTGATGCCTCCTCAACCTGCTGATAAGACACAGGGAGTGGTATTTTTTTTCAGAATCCTGTCATAGGAAAACTGCTTTTTTAACTATCTGTATCATCTAAGAGGCTTTTATTACTTGCTTTCCTCATTAGCAATGCATGTGACTTCTTCTGGCAGACATCTTCAGTAAAACTGCTTCACCTCTTCGGAGAGAGATGTAATAAAAACTGTTCCTGTGTACTGCCATCTATGACTATGTCTCTAAGCAATTTGCAGACCATAACAAAAAAGTCATCTACAAACTGAATTAGATAAGACAGAAATCGAATGCATCTTAATTTTGCTCTTAAAATCAGAAGTTGTAAGTGTCTGTTGTACCAGGTATAGGGAACAGACTTTCTAGTACTACAAACAGTCTGAAACCTATATCTGGGAGTCTATAGGAGACCTGTATTAGTGGATCCTGAGTCCCAAATGGGTGTGTAGAGAGGTTATTAAGATACACTGCATTAGACCAACTGCAAATATGAAATGTCACCACATTTGACTCACACGTCAGAAGGAACAAATTAAAGATGATAGCCCAGATCTTTCAAATTCTTATGGTACCATAATATGTAGTAATCCTAATGGCAGCATTTTGCCTAAAATGATGCCTGTAGGGAATTTCATCCATTAATCCATGAATCCCTGAATTACAGGAACCCAGCACTGGATTGAAGTCTCTATTTCAATCCAAAAGCCTAGTTTGAAGAGACTAAAACTGATGTATGTCATTCAAAATGACCATTCAAATTTGTTTCAACCAATCAGTATTTTTTAACATTTGCCTAATTTGTATTCTAGAGACTGTTGAAAACAGCTTTGTCTAATGAAGAATTGGAACACAAGCAAGTCAATAAAAAGCAATTTTTTTATGCAGAGTGTCTACTGTTCATACCGCATGAACATAAATTGAAGTGTGAAAATAAATTTATCTGACAGCATCAAATGGCAGGGAAAATCTCAGTTTCCCTGTCTTTCCATTGTTTACTGCAAGTTCAAGACAGCCGATATTCCAGGCATGTAAGTGACATCAAGTGACATCTTGCACTATGTGCATTTTACTTAGACTTACTGGAGGTTCCATCCACTTAGGGCCACAATGGGACTTAGTAATACTGAGCATTCCCAGGCCTGTAGGAGAGGTGTCCACCTCTAGGAGTCAAACTCACAAACCCAAGTTAGATTCCTACATTTGCTATACTATAAATAGGGAGAATTTGGCACCTAAGATCAGGATTCACAGCATTCAGCACAGTAAGCCAGCCAGTAGGGGATGATGAAGAAAGGAGCACATCAGAAATCCCATTACTCCCCCAGACGTCAGGAATTTGTCCTGAGTTCAGTGTCTGTGAGAGACTGGAATTCATAACATGAAAAATTAGTCAAAGTCACCCATGCTGTAGACCAGATCCAGGTCACAGAGCTCCCTTGTGGGTCAGATCCCACTTGGGGAAGGAGGTAACAGCAGGGGGACCAATGAAGAAGGCAGTGGCTGCAATGGGGATGGCAGTGGAAGGCAAGTAGTGGTGGGACCAGAAGCTGCAGGACAAGCGAGGCTGTGTTGGCAGAGCCCTTGCTCGCCCTTCTGCCACCGATGGCCATGTTCACTGGGGCCTAGGATCTGGATTCTGCAGCAGGTCA